TTGTTGTGCCGCCGTGGTAGGCCAGTTTCATATTGCACACTGCCTTTGTCTTATCTGTGTGTGTGTGTGTGTGTGTGTGTGTGTGTGTGTGTGTGTGTGTGTGTGTATAGAAATTTGAAGCACGTAATGTGCTGTTACGCTCTTTTTTACTCTGTGTGGATCTGTGGAAGTTCAAACTTTTTGTTTTCAATCCAATGTGTGATTCTGTATGTGTTTTTCTGAGTTTTTACAAATGTGTGTGTGTTTGTGTGTGTGGTTTCTGCAGGCCTGCGGTGTCGGGGGAATGAGGAAGAGACAAGAGCCGGCTGCCATTGAAGATAGAGACAAGCCTTACGTCTGTGACAGTGAGCGTTATAACTTTATTTCTTTATTGTTTCTTCACTGCTTTTCCTTAGACAGACTTACACAGACAGACAACTAATTGTATATACTGTGTGTGTGTCTGTCTGTGTGTGTTACAGTCTGTGGAAAGCGCTATAAAAATCGCCCAGGGCTGAGTTACCATTATACTCACACACACCTGGCAGATGAGGAGGGCGAAGAAGACTCGGAGCGACACACACTACCCTTCCAGCGCAAGAACAACCACAAGCGTAAGTCTGTCAAATATCCAATATTTACTTTATGTGTGCTTTGGTTACAGCAGTTTCAAAGTCATTCCAACATATCGTACAAGAATAGGTTGGGTTTATCGATTACTGACCAAAACACAATCTTATGAAGGACAAATGCATACTGTTGTCATTCAAATAAGTGCTAAAAAATGAACAAAACACTCAGTCAGAAGGAAACACGGGACAAAAAAAACAGAAGCTAAGAAATGTACTACTGTGGATGGGATCAGCGGCAACACATATTTTGAACACCTACAAAAGGACCGAATACAATAATAAATACTGCATCATTACAGCCTAACCTTGCCGTTAGACTGCCCTTTCCGTTAGCGAACTAAGGCCATTAACAATGCTGCCTTTTAAAGCCACTGGACAGTAATTTCACCTTGTTAGGGTTGCTAGTCTCTCGCATGATTTGTTTGTGTTATTCTATGACTTTGGTGATTACAAACGAACTCTTTAAAAAACTAACAAAAGTCACGCAATAAGATAACAAATTGAGGCAGCAGTGACCGGCAAATCCCGATTTAACTGAGGTATTTGTTTTTGTCAAAGGTGTCTGTGAAGAAAGCATAGATAATGGCTTCCCTTTGGAGAGAAACGTCTAAATCTAAAATCTAAAATCAATTTAAACTGATATTTAATGATTTCAGTTGAGACTTTTTTTTTAGGTGACTAAAAATATGTTTTGCTGCTGCCCAGTCCAAAACCGTATTCTTTTCTGTTTCTTCTTACTGAGGACTTTCTTCGATAGGTACTACACTGTCTATGGCAAATAACATTATACAACCCCCCTCTAAAAAAAACAAAACCTTCCCTTTAATAATCAGAATATTATCAGGAACTATTGATCGTCCTGGAGTCCTCCTGCATTATAGACAGATACAGTGCTGACTGGGCCTATTCCAAAGTGTGTACTTGTGTGGATAAAAGATACGATTTCTCCCAGTGGAGTGCTGAGTTTAGCTGACTTCTTCAGCTCTCACTTACTCCCTTTTCAGCCTGACGCAGTGACGCAGGTTAAAACTCTGCTCAAAATGGGTCAACAAGATCTATCCCACTTTCAAACATAACTCTTGACCTGTGGTAAACAATGGTCAAATGCCGGCTTTGGTCAACAGGCTAAAAAACGAAAAACGAGTGATAAAAAGTAATTAGTTAATTTCCTAATGCAATTTTGTGTATTTCTATTGATTCGGCTATGTGTTTATGCAGATACAGTTGCATGAGGAAGTGACAGTGTCAACAAGAATCAACCCTAATATTAATGTGGACAAACAAGGCTTAAACAAGCATCTTATGCTTCCTGTATTCAAATTTGTTTTACTAATTTAGACACTAATTGTCACACTTCTGCTTTTTGATCCATGTTGATAGCTAGAATATGCCCTAAGGCTAAGCCCAAGGGTAATTTTATATTCTATATATAGTATTTTTATTTGAACAATGTTGCATTTAACCTTTCGCTCTAAGGGCTGCTGTAGCCCAGAGCTAAAGTCACTGTCAGACCTCAGTTGTTAAACTAACAGGAACAAATATAGACCACAGGTATTCAACAGGGGGTCCTCAGAATTACTGCAGCTGGGCACCATATGTTTGTTGGATAATGAAAACAATATTATTATTTAATTTTCTAAGTAGGCTATTGTTGCATCATAAAAAAAAAACTAAAAAGACCCGCTTCACATTATTGTAGACCCATTTAAATATGCTACTCAATTGCAAAGATTCCTTATTTAAACATTAGCATTGATAATAATACAAAGAAAGGGTTGAAAATAGATTTGCATGTTGTAGAAGAACAGGTGATGGCGGCAAACATACTGTATAGTAAAATACTAAATGTAAAGGGACCAGTCAGAACACTTTTACAAATTAGACAGTTTCACCATCTGCTGCAAAGACACATCATCTCAATGAGGGAAAAAAAAGCTCTTCAATCAAAACTCATCGGCTATAAATAACTGTCAGAGAAAAAACACCAGTCACACACTCTGGGAAATTACCATCACACTCTTCTACTGTATGTACCTTTCAACTTACAGCTCACAGTATGGCTGCTGCTATCAACGGCTTAATGACTGCCCATTAATGCACTGACTCAGAATATCATGTGGTAGTAATGAATACCCATGGTATTATTGCTAATGTCTTTTTTTCAGACGGGGCAGGCATTTGCATAAAGGCAGGGGCACAGATGCTTCTGGAATGGAGTGGCACTTCATATCTTAATACCATTAAACTATTCATAAGCAATGCTAGCATTAGCTTTATGAAAGGCAACATTGGCTTGGTCCAGACTGGAATAGCTATAACATAGATTTTAATTAAATTCTGTACAGTCATTCATTGTCCTCAGAGTATAAGTCCTAATAACTCTGGTGATCCCCTGACTTTCCATTTATTGCCATCATAAAGTTCAAATGTATGGTTTTGAGTTAAATGTCTTCACAACTGTTGGTTTGGCTTTGCTGGATGAACTGGAATACATTTTTGTACAAAAGTTAAACTCCCAAATGTGTTTTTTTTTTTATTCTAAAGGTTACTCGACAAATACTGATAACATGAATGACATTCTGATCAACCTCAGCAGCACTTTCTGTTTATTGCTAATTAGCAGAAGAAAGCATGGCACATCATCTCAACAGCTTCAATCATCGCTCATCAGTTCTAAATCCGCGTCAGCGAATAAACACTCTCGGAAATTACCATTACACTCTACATTTATAATTCAGATGTATACATGTATCCTTCACAGAGTTGCTAGCATAGCGTTTTACCTTTAAAATGGATGTTTACTTAATGCAGTATAGGCACTGTCATAGGGAGTTTCCCATTAGTTTAGCTCATCCTAAGAGCACATTTAGTTTCAATATATTTGTTGTGCGTACTAAATCAAGCCAGGCAGAGAGTAAGGCTATTGAAAATGGGATGTAGCATGTTCAATTTTCATCCAGGAGACATTTTTGTTTGTCTTTTTATGAAAGTGCATCCTTTCTGTAGCGTTAACATGTTTCTGTTCCTTAAACCTAACCACACTTTTAACATCTTCACCTGACTTTAAAGACACTGCAATTGCCGTGTGCAGCTATTGAATAAAGCAGAAAACATTTGCATTCAATGTGATCATTCAACAATGACATTCTCTGGCGATGGGGTTTAAAGGTCCCACAAGGTGCATTGAGAACACCATCTTCTTTAGAAGGATAGGAACAATCTGCAGAGCTATTATTTCATACAATTTAAACATTTTTAGGTTTAGCTTCGTTTATTGATGATGGCTCCATTCCAATCGGTGCTCCAATAAGCATATATCAACCATGTCTTGGCACTACAAGGAACAATTTAATGGAATGTGTCCACTGTAATTGTTATTACTTACACCTGCGATGGAGAAGTTATTATGACCATCATGAAAAATGCCTCACGTACATCTGGCTAAGGGACATTTACTCCCACTCAATCTTTTGTCACATCATTCCCTCTGGGACTTTTGGCTCTTCTTTAATAAGATGAACTGCAGGGCTTAAGAGTTATTGGGTTTTGGCCATCTTCCTAAAGCTGTAAAAGGGCCAACTGCAAAATCTGATTCATTTAAATGGGAGAGCAAAATTGTCCAAAACCGCTTGTGCAGTAAGAAGTATTAAATGGGAGTGTACACTAATCTGCACATAACAGCACTGCGGGCCTCCTGAGAATGCACTTAGCGCTAGGCGGCAAAGGATCTGCTGAATCTATCTAGGGTATCATAAGAAAGCAATAAATGTCCGAGAACAACAAGTAAAGCAAATATTTAGGTTTCTATTGAAGAGGTCATGAATCAAGCCTCAAACCTCCCCTCCTGTCAGTGGCAGCATCCACACTAACCAAATTGCTTCTCGTCCGCGTTTTTTGTGGCTATTTATTTTCACCCTCAGGGCCACTTTTCTATCAGTGTGTGGTTTTGGTTTCGTTTTTTCTTCTGTCTGTGTGTTCTGTTCATTTCTGAGCACTTATTTGAAGGACAATACCAGGCATTTATCCTGCAGGAGATTGTGTTTTGGTCAGTAATCGTTAGTAAAATGGCTACAGTTATTCTCCCAAAAAAACAAAAAAATAGCTGTTGACATTTGAAAAGGGAGCGGAGACAATTCATTCACTCCTTTTGTTCTCCAGTCTTAAAACAAGCAATTTGTTCAGAATAGAGTGCAGATAAACACTCAAAAAACACATATCCACATTATCTGTGTTTGCTGCACTACAACAATGTCCACACTGCAACTGTGCTGCCTGTCAGTTAATTGGCAGTGTGTGGTTTTAAATTGGACCGTACAATGATAAGTCTAGCCCGGTTTGTGTGTGTGTGTGTGTGTGTGTGTGTGTGTGTGTGTGTGTGTGTGTGTGTGTGTGTGTGTGTGTGTGTGTGTGTGTGTGTGTGTGTGTGTGTGTGTGTGTGTGTATTTGTGTGTCTGTGGCCATGCTGCAGTCTTAGGTCTTTCCAGTGGAGGAGAGCAAGTGAGACAGCATTTGAATCGTTTAATATCCCCCATCACTCCCTCCCAAACAGTCAGTAATCACACACACACACACTCACACATGCACATACACATGCACACACACACGCGCACACACACAAACGCGCGCGGACACACACACGCACACACACGTACACAGCCCCAGAAAATGCAATCTTCTCTGCTGAAATGAAAAAGGGAGCTTAGCCTTTTGGCTTGGCATGTATGTGTGTGTGTATCCACATGCACATGCATTTGCAAGGCACTGTGAGTGTGTTCATATGTGTGAGTGTGCATGAATTAATGTGTGTGTACACCATTAAAGCTTTCCCCAATTTGCTGAGTGTCATGGAGGAGACTCCACTATCCTCCACCCGTTGCCACATATGTAATAATATTAACATAGGGCCCCGGAATGAGAGCAACCCTGCATGCATAATTCATGGTAACTTCTGCCTCAAAAAGCTGTCTAGACGCTATAGTATG